GTCACAGTGGCACTGGAAAAAGGGACTTTCGACCATTTTTCACACTTATGATTGTTGCAACATCCCTATGGTACCATGATTTATAGCTGGATGCTTGGCAACTGACTCATATTTATGACAGATGCAGAGTCTCAGAGTCACGGGATCCCTTTTTGCGACTTCCTGGTAAGCAAAATCAATGGAGAAGCCAGATTCATTTAACAATTCTTGCTACTCACTTATCAACTACAGTGATTCACTTAACAAATGTGGCAAGAAAAGGTGGTAAAGTGGGAGAAAACTCACCCAACAATTTTCTCACTTAGCAACAGAAATTTGGAGCTCAATTGTGGTCGTAAGTTGAGGACTACCTGTAGGAGTTACATTCCTATAATATAAGTTGGGAATGTTTAAAATCATTGCTTGGCTAGTTTAATTTTCTATTAAACTTGATTCTCGTGCAATACCATGTCATTTAGGGGACTTTTTGTGCATTATGTTTTTCCAGATCCGATTTTTTTCTGTGATGCTATTGAATAAACAAGTAAAACATATGAGTTTTACCCAGAGATTGTGCTCCATCAATCCAAATCTGACTTCTGGCATTCATGCACAAGATGCACTCAAATCCCTAAAATGTTAGCAATGAATGATGGAACTATTTTTCTTACTCGTACAATCAGTAGAAGAAAATAAGCTGAGTAGGAACAGTACAGTGCCTGGTCTGTTATCTTTCTTTTTTCAAACTTTATCTTCTGCTTCAGACTCTTCAAAGTGCAGATGATAGTTAAGTGCTTCTGGCATTTTTGTTCCTATTGCATGCTTATAACTTTAAATCTCTGCCAATTCCTGCCCAACCATGTACAACTCTTAAATTGGATTTCCACAAATACTTCACTTGACTTGATGCCTTCCTGTTTTGGGAAACTCTTGACTTCATACTTACCAGAAGTGCCACCCTACAGCATCCCTGGTTATATTAGAAAATGATATTCTCATCATTTTAGCAACTAGGTTTTTCTAATGATGTATTGTTTATTTATTTAAAGGATTTATATGGCTGCCCATCTTAAGCAACTCTGGACTGCTCACAGCATCAATAAAACCAATGGCTATAAAACAGTCATAAAACAGTAAACCGATAAAGTGATAAAAACAAAAAGCCTGTGTTTTAGTGGTACCTCTGAGATATACCCTGCAGCAAGCTTCAATTGTTCTCATTCCATATTTCTATCTATAGAATCTTATCTTTGGTTAAAGAACCAGGTCTTAATGAGGGTGGGGCCTTGCCAAATCATTGGGAGGGGGGAATAGTCCACGTTGTAGGAGCAGCCACAGAAAAGACATACTTGTGAGGTCCCACGAAATGGCAAGATTTCAGGAAAGGGCTCTAGAGCAGGGGTGTCAACTCAAGGCCCTCGCGCCAGATCCAGCCCATGGGTTACTTAGATCTGGCCTGCAGGACTACCCTGGAAACAACAAAGGATTGGCCCATAGCTCCATTTTCGCTGGCAGAGGGCTAGCAAAACAAACCAAAAACAAAACAAAAGGAGCAATATTTCCCCTTTTGCATTTGATCATGCAAGAAGGGACAGGAAAGGAAAAAAGGAAAGTGGAAAGACAGAAAAAGGTGGGAAGAGAGCAAGGAAGGAAAAAGAGAGAAGGGAAGGAAGAAGAAAGGAGAATGAAGAGGGAAGGAAAAAGAAGAAGGAAGGAAGGAAGTGTTCTGACCCAAACCTTGTTCCAAGGAAACAAACACGAAACGGAGGTAACAGCAAAACCTTTTAATGATTCTTTATGAATTCCATTCCTTCCCGGTTAAAAGGCTGTTTCAAACTAATTGTCTCTGATAAGAACGAGCCTTGCCAAGGTTGTGCAAGGCTGCCAAGAACACAAGATAAAGTTGCCAAGCAATATTCGAAACACAAAGAGTCTCCAAACACCAACTAAGAGATTCCGAACGTCCACAAGGCTTGAGTGCAAAAACTTCTTTGCTTCCTCCAAAGAACTCCGGTTTCTCAGCTGGCTTTTATCTCTTAACGGAGGGGCCATTACCTTGCAGCCTTACTCCCGAGTTGTCCGTGCTGCTGCAGCTGCTCTTCAAGCAGCCCTGAGTGCACGTGCATTGGGCACAGGCTCCTTGGGGACCTCTTCATCACTGCTGCCAGCCTCCACAATCTCCAAAGGCAGCATTCCACTCCCTGATAGTCCTGACCCCATCCCTGCATCACACTCAGGCCCCTCATCTGAGTCTCGGAGACCTCAGCTGTCCACACCTGCTGCCGGCAAACCACAACAGGAAGTAAGGAGATTATAATGAGAGGGAGGGCCTGAGGGAAGTCCCGCCTTAGCACTTGACCCCCACAGGTGCCCCCAATATGAGTGATGTTGAGATGGCCACACCCATTCTGGCCATGCCTATGCCCAGCAACCTCAGCCTCCCCAAGGTCAAATACAACCATTATGCAGCCCTCAATGAAATCGTGTTTGACCCCCCTGTTCTAGAGCATCCCTACCCTGTCTGATTTATTCTTAGGATGTCAATATTATATGAAAAATAGTATGTATCCGATATATTGTAACGTAGTATATATATATAATATAGGAAGAGAACATATTCATTATGTCGGTTCCAGAAAAGTTTGGCTCAGCAATGAGGATTGTAAACAAAACTGAAATAAAGTATTAAAAAAGTGAAAAGACGGGGATGGCTAATTGGTTGCTTAGCTATTTTTTTTAAGTTATTGAGAACTATGCCAAATGCTTCTCTTGTTTGTGGTTCCTGAACAATCTGCATCTTTATTCCTCCTCTTAACTTAGAAAACTAAATAAACAGGAAGACTGATTTCTGCAAATAATAATTGCTTAATAATAATCTGAAGTAGTCTGTCCAAAGAGCATATTCAGTACCAAATACTGAATATAATAAATGAATAAATAGTATTCCTATTTCAATAGTTTTGGTTACAGTATATCCCTTTTTACTCCGATGCATTTCTTTTTACTACTTTAGCAAAATGTCAGTCCCTTACAGGTAGGTTTACCAGATTCCTCCCTAATCCTTACCATGCAGCCTCATAATTTGGACAATTACTGTGTTTTGCCTCAGAAAGTAAATCTATTTCACAATTTCAAAGATTTCTTAGAGGTGCCTGAGAAAGTAAACTTGAAATATCCTGAAAGAGCAGTTTCTCTGATAGTTCTTAGTTAGGCTGGAGCCACTATTAAACTAATACATTACTTTAATTCAATTCAATTCAGACAATCCAATTTTCTTTTAAATGTGTGATGATTTTCTGGCATTATGATGTTTATTTATTCCGTTTCTATAGGTATCATAAAGTCATACAGACTTGAATTTATGCAACTAAGTAAGTTTGTTTGGGGTTTGAATGCTAGTGCTGGGCTCACAGATTAGATAGACACAGCTTTCACAAGAGTGTAATTGTGAATAGTCCTCCAAGGCACTGGATTAGAAACTGGGAGATTGTTCTTAGTCTTGAAAGTCATCTAGGTGACTCTGCCAATTATTCTCCCTTAACTTTAGGAATAAAGTATTGGTAACAGGGTGGGTAAAAATTGTTGATTTAAAAAAAAATTAAATTGATTTTTTAAATTCAAATCAGATATATTTTTATCAAATGTATTTTAATAAAATGCCATCGGAGTAAAAAATCTATGTAAAATAGTTTTCTATTTAAGATACATTAATAATTTAGTTTATTCAGCATGAAATGAGCTTCGTTATGTAGCATGAGGCTATACTGTAATATTGAGACTGTTGGTGAGACAAGAGCAGGTCAAAGGAAGAGCAGCTGTGGGAAAGAGATGACAGTTGCTGTTTAAAAATTATGATTTAAATCAAGCCTTTTTACTAGTGATTTAAATCGTGATTTAAATCGACTTGATTTAAATCAAATCCACTCTGATTGGTAAGCCATTTTTGAAAATGTTGCCAAGAAAACTGCATGGTCTTGTTTCAGCAGTCACTAAGAATTGACATAACAACAGGCATTCAGAAGTTCTTCTCAGAAGCTTTTCTGTTGATTTATACATGTAGCAACAGTTCAAATGTTTTTACTACCAGTTCTGTGGATGTGGTTGGTGGGCATGGCAGGGGAAGGATACTGTAAAATCTCCAGTCAGAGGTGGTATTTGCCAGTTCTCCAAACTACTCAAAATTTCCGGTTCTCCAGAACTGGTCAGAACCTGCTGAATACCACCTCTGAGAGATAGCTAGATAGGTGGAGGGAGGGAGGGAGGGAGAGAGAGAGAGAACACAAACTGGACACCATGAATAATAATTGACTTTGCAATAGAGGTGTAGGGTTGATAATAGCAATAATAGGATCTGATGCTTTGCTCAAATAGCATATGTAAATTCTTGAAAAAAATTCCTTGGGTTAAAGTGGAAAAGGAATACAAAATATTTCTTTTTTATTGCTTGGAAAGACTAATAGAAGCATTTAGAAATATCTAAACTAGAATTTTTAGAATCTGAAGTCAGTAAACTTTAAATGATTTGTCATTTTTAAAAAATCGATCAAAAGTGACCCATAATTTTCCAAGTAACACTGAGGCTTAGTGTGTTTGGTATGATCTTGGCAGCAAAGAAGCACATTCTGAAAGGGTTTTTTATTATGATTATTATTATCAAATCATGCGTTCCAAGCTTTTACAGGCCCTGTACTTATTACTGCTGTGAATAAGACACTTCTTTTTTTTTTGAACTGTAAACAAATATCATATTTTTAAACTGAAATGTTTAGTTCTATAGAAAGGCGAGGAGTTTGAGCAAGCAGCTATAGTATAGTCCTGCTTTTTGCACACATTGTCATATTGTCTTTACACACAGGTGTTTGTTTCAGGGTATCTATTTTCATATGTTTCTTTAAACTACTTTAAGTTAGAAGTAATAGTGTATTTAGGGGAGGGCAATATAAAGTAAAAAGATAATGAAAGCAATGCAGAGACTCCATGTGGATTATTTCTAATGTTATGGTTCTATTGTCTTTCCACAGTTACCGTTCCAAATTTGAGCACTGTTCTCTCCTTTTCTGGAGGATTTGCCTTGCTGCCTTAAACCATGGACATCATGGGATTTCTGAAGTCTCAATTCATTTGTCATCTTATTCTCAGTTATGTATTTATAATGTCAGGGTTGATAATCAACCTCATTCAACTCTTCACGCTAATTCTCTGGCCATTCAACAAGCAACTTTTCAGAAAAATCAACTGCAAGCTGTCATATTCTCTTTCAAGCCGTAAGATGTTTTTATATTCCTACCTTTGTTTTAACAAATAGTATTATTTAGGGCAGGCAGATTTTAAATGTGAAAAAAGATGTTTTACTGAAATACTTTTAGAAATGCTGCCCTGGAAGAACACATATTAATAAGGAACTTGGTTTTTTTTTTTCATTTTTTCCTTTCTGCAAATTCTCTTTCCTTCTTTGGATATATACTTTATATACTAATGTGAGTTCAGCTGCTCTAAAGTTAATTATTGAGAAGTACAACTAAAAGGTAGCTACACAGATAGATGGTGCACTAGGAGAGTAGTAAGGATTCTGCAGAACAGTGTTTTTCATTGAGGGGGACCTCCAAATCCATGTGTTTTTTTTCTTAAAAAATAACCAACATTCAAAAGTGCAGTCAAGTGTTTTTTATTGCTTCTTTTGCAATGCAGTAATCCTTAACTTGAGAATACAATTGGGACTAGAACATTCATTACTAAACGATGTTAAGAAATATGCCTGTGTTTATGGCCTTTCTGCTGCGTTCATTTAGCAGATCATTGTTGTTAAATGAATCCGATTTCCCCCATTGATTTTGATTGTCAGAAGCTCCCTGGAAAGATTACAAATGGTGATCATGTGACCCCCAGAATACTGCAATCATTGTAAATACACCCAAATTTTGATCATGCGTTCCTGGAAACACCGCTGTGGTCGCAAGGGCAAGGATTGGTTGTAAATCACTTTCTTCAGCACTGGCTTAACTTTGAATGGTTATTAAATGAATGGTTATAGGTTGAGGACTCCTTGTATAGGCATTCTTTTATTGAAGTACTCTTTGTTGCAGAGTTTCTCTTAATGTACCTAACAGTTATTGTTCCTTGACTTTATCACAGCTTCTCCCTGAAAACTTAGTTCATTGTCTATGCTAGATTTCTCACAGTCCCTTAGTCTTTCCGACAAGCAACTATGTGTCCCCAGAATTTTCCTTATTAAATTACCTAACTCACTGCTTTCCCCTTGAAAGAGAGAGAGGTCTGCTTCAAGCAAAATTCAGCCTCTACCATCCTATTTATTTCTAGCAATGTTTGGGGGATTCACAAAAGTCCCATTAAAAATGTAGAGAGCATCCTAAAGTAACATACCCCACCACATATTCTCAAACTTCCCAATGTGTGTCTACCCCCAAAGTGATAGCTTGTCCTTGCTATTCAGTCAATCTTGACTGTTCTTCCTGCTGATAATTCTTCTCTGTTTGCTTGAACAGGATGAGTAGAATCAGTGTTGAGTTTCATTAATGGTATGGCTCTCACTCAGCTATATCCATTTCTTCTCATTGAATATAGGGAGTGTGTAGTCCTTTAAATACAGAATGAATAAAATACATTGTTCTTAAGGCATGTAATCCCTTTTCTCCATAAACATTAGTTTCAGTTGGCCAAAATAGTATTTTTTCCTCTCCCTTCTTTTTTTTAATGATATACATACATTGCAATTATTTGCATCCTGCTTTCAGGATATAAATCCTCCTATATCTGCTTAGAAGCAGTATTAATGATAGTAAATACAGATAGCCCTCAACTTTTGACTTAACAACTCATCGAAGTTCCAAAGGCATCAAAAAGGTGGTTTAAGACTGATCAACACATTTACGACTAGTCTTCACATTGCAGTGTTCCCTGTATTCACTTGATCAAAATTCAGGCGCTTGGCAATCAACATATATTTACCATAGTTGAAATGTCCCAAGGTCAGATAATTATCATGTATTAACACCCAGGGGCTTCTGACAAACAAACTCAGTGTGGGAAACTGGATTCACGTAATGACCATAGTGATTCACTGAACAAATATCACTGGCAGAAATGTTGTAAAATCAAATGCAACTCCTTAATGATTACTTTGCTTAGTGATGGCAGTTCACGTCCCACTTGTAGCTGTAAGTCGAGGATTACCTGTAGAGTATTATTTAAGAACATACAACAAGTCTCTAAGATCTACCATGGTCTTGGTGTATTTTCCCTTTGGACATTCCTTCTGTTTTACAGACTCTGGTTTCTTTTTGGTCTGGTTTTTTTTTTTAAATTAGGACTTAAATATATATTTGTGAGGGTGAAGGTTTGTTCTTCAAGCTTGTGGGTTAATTTCCAAACATTTTGTTATCAGGCTAGGTAACATCTTCAGCATATTTTAGGGGAATTTAGCTCCCCTAAACTCCCCTAAAAAGGCTACTTGTCACACCATCTCCTCCCCAAAACCAGTACTCAACTGAAATGCAAGAAGTGACTGGGTATTATGGCAATATGCTTTTCCTTAAATCCATCTTTTTTTTAATGAACTTCTTATTCTGCTTTGCTTGTCAAGCCAGCAAATGAGGCTGGTGAGCCTCCCGAGGAATGTATACTTATTAATAAAGACTCTGTTAATAAGAAAGAGTAATCACTAATGAACAGAAATTGTTTAGAGGAGATAGATTTTTTGTTAACTCTGTCCCCTGAGAGAATACCAAACCATTTCTGCTGTGCTTCAAGTTTGGCTTTTTTGTTTGATCGTTTGTTTTTGAACAAGTACAGAAATTAGGGCAAGACTCATAAATCCTTCTTCCCCTAACAAATATCAGAACAAATCATTTTTAAAGAAAATGAGTCATTTTTATTTGATTAAAATACTTTATAACCCTTTCAAATTATCTAGTATAAAATGTATCTGAATCAAGAATGTTTAAGCTATAATCCCACATTTGCTATCCTAGAAGATGAATTCACTGAGCTTTAATTCTGATTAAACATACATAGTGTTGTGCTGTCAAATTATATTTTAAGAAGCATTTTATGACTGAATCTCTAGTCTTCTCTCATTTGTATGGATTATTTTGAACATAATAATCCAAGTTTCTGGAAAATTCTCTGTTGTTGCAAATATGATTATTTATATTGTAAGGAATCATCCTGTCTAGACTAGTTCAGAAGTAGATATATGGCTTGCTCTAAAACAAGCCAAAATTTATAACCTTGCATATTGATAGGGAACCAAACACCGATACTTAATTGTATATATTACAAGCATGTGAACTACCTAGCCAAGAGTTTGGGATTAAGTTCATGTATAGTTTTCAAAGTTTTGTCTTTGATTACAAGCAGGTATTTTGATTTGTTGCAGAAGTATAAATGTTTAGGAAAGATGCTATAATAAATTGTCTTGACTTTTCTCAGTCATTTTGTAAAGTTTCTGAATGCAATAACAGTACAAAGAGTCAATGTGGTTGCAATAATAGAGTCTAAGCACACAGACACATAGCCACCAACGAAGCACACCGTTGCATAATCACTCAAGTTCAGAAGACCTGTGAGTGCCATCACTGATGCTGTTTTTGCAACATTCTAGTACTCTCTTCGAACTGAGCAGTGTTGACACTAACTGACCAGTAGAAGAAGCATCCAGTCAGTGCTTCCCTTCCCCCTGTTTGTTTTTGTTTTTGTGGAGTCACTCCCTAAAGTGAGAGCTTCAGTGCTATTTCTCTGTTCAAATAAAAATAAAATCAAAAGGTGGCAAAACCACCTTGACTTCAGAGAAAGGAAATGATGAAGGTGTGGGAGGCAAAGCCATGGGGTGGAAATTTTCACTGTAGAAAATTGCCCTCTTCACAGGCCCAGCATTGCTCTTGTTGTTGGTATTGATTCAGCTGTGGAAGAGCTCTGGAGATACATTGAGATGATGATTGAAATATACATCTAGGGTACAAGAAGAAAAAAGAAGACAAGGCTATCCAAATTTCCCAGTTGTATTTTTTTAACTACAATGTGACACTTTTATTGTTATTTATTTACTTAAATTTGTTATGGCTGCCCACTCCAATAGATACTGTTTGTGGAAGCTCTGCTGTATGCTGTTTTCTTCCTGGATAACAGTGAAGGTACTTGGCATAAACAATTGTAAGTAGACATGAGCCCAAGAGATTTGCAATTAATTATGGCTCTAAGATTACTGAGTAATCTGAACCTACTAATCTTATGTTTCACTGACTAATTGAGTTCTTTTTTTCATCTGCTCCTTTCATTGATTTGCCTTTTATTGGTAATCAATAGAATGAATAGAATCAGTAAATTAAAATAAATAAATAAGGAAGCAGTGGTTGTACAAGTTCCATTGCCTTGCTGATACAATTTAATTTCTTCTTCCATTACTTGATTTATGAGAGAAATTTAAAGCTCCTTTTGTTCTGTTGTAGCAGTCCCTTAAACATTTATTGCTGATTGACAAGAACATTGTGGCACACATGAATTTCACTGTCTTTTACTATAAAGAACCTCGCTGTTGAAAGTACTGGCTGCATATTTTAGCCCATAGCTAGTCAGGTTACACATAGTTTCCCATCCCCATGAACTGTGCAGATTTTACACAACTTGTAAAATTGTGAAGATGTGCCATCCATGTAACATTTTAAGTTGTATTGTTACTTGGAATATGTTTTGGGGAAAGAGGCTCTGATGCTGTAAATACTTTTGAAGTAATTTGAACGCCTCCAAATTGTACAGGTTTTCTTTTTTTAAATCCCCAATTCTGCTTAAAATACATAAAGTATGATTGCATGTTCCCTGGTAAAGTTTCCCCTGTCCAGTTATGTCCAAATTCAGGAAGTGATGTTCATCTCTATTTCTTAGGGAGTCAGTGTTGTCTAAAAATGCTTCCATAGTCATGTGGCTAACATGACTATACACCAAGGTGCTTGGAATGCTGTTATCTTCTCACAGAGATGGTACCTATTTATCTACTCACACTTGCATGCTTTCGAACTGCTAGGTGGCCAGCAGTTGGGGTAAGTTACTGGAGCTTGACCCATTGCACAAAGCTTGGGTCTCGAATCAATGACAAGCTCAGTTTCTTTAATGGCTGAACCATCGCTACCCCCCTCATATTCCTGATTAGCGGGGGGTCAAATAAGACAGTCAAACCTACTTGATAAGGAAAGGGAAAGAGCACCTGTGTTGTGGCAAGTTCAGTGAAGCAATATCAAAATGTAACACACCACTAAAGAATGTAAACAGTTCAGCACAGAATGGTTAATGAAACAAATGGTAAAATTGTGAAAGAAGAGCCACATACAAATTTTTTGGCCGACAGAGGCACTGCGGGCCAGTCCTTTGATATTTCCAGACCAGCCCCGCGGACCAGATGTAAACACGCCATGGGCCAGGTCTGGCCTGCAGGCCTTGAGTTTGACACCCCTGTGCTAGAGACAGCTCAGGAGGAAAGCAGTAGTAGTTATACCTTTGATATTCCAGCAAACACCGTAGGAATGGGTGGAAACTTGTCTCTTGCCCCTTGCTTTCCATGGTTGAGAAAGAAATTGAGATGGGCCCTGATATTTTTTTCTCTATATTTGTTCTTCCAAGACTGAAAGAGAATATTAAGACTCAGGGAATGCAAGGAGAATTGCTATATATGTTATCCTTCAATTAAAATTGTCAAGTGGTGTTTATGATTTAAAAAAAAAGTCAGACCATCACAATTTGAATTCCTAGATACAAAAGCAGCACCTGTCATTTTTCCAAGATTCAGGCTTTTACTTTTATATCATGGATGGTATACCCGCACACAAAACAGAGGTATTGGGGAACCTCAAGATTTATTTACAGTAATTATATCTTGTCTTTTTTATTTTTATAAATAACTCAAGGAGACAAACATGTCTAATACTCCAGCATCCCTGTGAGGTGGATATGGCTGAGAGAGAGTGACTGGCCCAAAGTCACCAGATGTCTTTCATGCCTAAGACATGATGTCATCATACAAAAATGCTTAAGAAAAGAAAGCTAAAGTGGGAAGGATGGTACAGAATGTTGACTGACTTGGGGAAAACCCTGGAAAAACAGATGGGAAGAATATGAATTGGGATATTGTGGAGGAAGGTATGAATGGTTGTCTGACACCTTGAATAGAAATATTGCATGATTCAATATTTGTTTTGCTAGTTTTGCTTTAGACAGAATGCCAAATAGATTATTAAACTCTCACTGGATGCTTAGAAAGAAAACACCAAATTAGAAATATTTGTAGCACAAAGTGGTAATTTTACTTAGAAAAATGCTGATGCTCGGGCATATTTTAGACCTTGGCTGGATGAATCTCTTTGCCTGCCTGCCTATAATATAATGAATATAATTTGCAACATTGACAACATACTTAACTCTCCTCTTTCCTCTGTTCTGGGTGGAGTTAGGCACTGGGAAAGATAAAAAGCATACTTAACCTGAGATCTAAAAGCAGTCACAGAAAAATGTCCAGTAGGTCAGTTCAGAATTTAAAAGCTGAGCCAGTTTGAATTCCAAAGTAGAAGAAAATGAAGTGTCAATGCAGCAGAGAGGTCTGAAAAAGTATAAAAGTTAAATGGATATGCAGGTTTAAGAACAATAGCAACTGCTTCAGTTAATGAGTTGCTCTTAGAGAACATTCTATTAGAGCAGAGTTTTTCAAACTTGACAGTGGTAAAGTTGTGTGGACTTCAACTCACAGAATGTAGGAGAAGAACAGCCAGAGCTGGGGGAAGGTGTTAAGCTTGCCTTTAGTTTAGAATCTTTACATTCCCACAAGCGCTCTGAGTCTAACCCCTCCTAAATTCCGTTGACCTTATCTGATGCCAATTTAATCTTGAATTTTGGTTGACCAGATTCTTGTGTATAGACTTGAATAAATGTTCTATGCTGCAACCTTACGATTGATCGTGATTCTTTGTGCCTGACACAGAATTCTTCAACCAATAATGCTAAAATAAAAATAATAAACATTTTTTTTAAAAAAACCAATGCAAAACAGAACAAATGGGGATTTAGTCATTCTATACAATACAAATCACAGACAAAAAGAGACGTGACACCTCCAGTAAGGGACTCTATCCATCTCAGTCGGAAGCCTCACAATGCATGATTTCAAAACCATTTTAAATATCCCCTTGAGCGCTGGATTTTGTGCTTCAGTTGGCTTGGTGTTTTAAGGTTGTTTCGAACCTGCCTGGTCACTGTTCTTGATTTTCATAGTTGATGGTCTCAAATCTAATTATTTTGATTCTTTTTTAGCTTAATGTGCATCTGGCTGAACAAATCATGAAATCTTATGTTTTAATTTTGCTCCTGCTGTAAGGACTGCTACGTGTTCTGATTGAACTGTTTTGTTTTAGTCTTACCGTGCACCCAGTTCATCATTAATAAAGGAAATGAGTCTGGCATCTTTTGCAGGATATTTTGTTCTGTTTTCAGCTTTTCATAAATGTGCTATGAGCAAATGAACTGATATCAAGATTTCAGCTCAATAATTCATTCAACATATGGGAGGATTATGCAGATGCCTGAATCTAATTTCTAAAGCAGCTCAATGGTGGATATGTTACATAACAATTAATAAGATTTTACCTTTAAACCATCTTGTCCTTTTTACATTATTGTGCCTCTATTAGCAGGATGCAAATATATACTTGACAGAGATGACATGGATGCCATTTTTTTCTTTTAAAACATCCATATTAGAAATAGAAAAACTAAATGTCCCCATTTTGTGAACAAAAGGAAGAAGATATAAATAGAAGTAGATAGTGTTTTCTTAAATGTAGGAGGGGAATTAAGACTGCAAATACTTTTATAATTTCTTTATTTTATTTTTTTGAGATTTAAAGCTGTAACACAACTTTATAATTCAGCATTCTACTAGGTCACTGGCAATGCAACCATTACAAATGTGATTCAGTTGCCAAGCACCTGAATTTTGATTACATAACGATGGGGATGCTGCAACAATTGTAAGTGTGGGAAAACAGTCATAAGTCACTTTTTTCAGTGCCATTGTAGCTTCGCATAGTGACTAAATGAACTAAGTCGAGGACTATCTGTATGATTAATCTGCTGCTACTTACATTACAGCAGGGCTGTCAAACTCACAGCCTGCAGGCCAGATGCATCATGTGCTGGCCACACCCATGTCCAGTTAGCGAAGGGGGAAAAAGTCATGAGATGTTTACATGACAATGCCATGACCACATGGGTTTGACACCCCTGCATTATGGCATATATATATATATAATCTTGTACCCTCGAGGTATACTGAGACCGCAGCTTTGCATTCTCCACAAATGTGATGTATCTAGCAATAGAACTAATACAACTGGAGGGCACCAGTTTGGAGAAAACAATGTATAGGAGGAAAGATGAGTCATAGAAAACAGAAGCAAGAAGCCTGTAGTCCTTTAGCTTTTACTGAAATGAAGTTCCCATAATTATTTACCCTAGAACTGCTGGGAATTCTGATTTATCAACATCCGGTGAGCCACAAATCCTCAGGTTCTGCTGTAAAGGAGCATCTAATTAAGATTCCTCACGTGTGTGTGTGTGTGTGTGTGTGAATGGACTGAAATCCAGATAAATACTAACATAATCCATCTGCTTCGGTACAACTTTTTAAATGTTTATGTGGCAACTTACTATAATCTTTCACAAAATAGGGAGTTATTATTCTGTCCTCTGTTTTTAAAAATGCAAACATATGTTTGAATCTTTCATAATGTGTAAATAAATGTATAAATTCAGAGTAAGTTTTCTATTGCTATCATTTAATATTTTGTAAATTAGAGTAGCCAAGCGAAAATGGAGAGGATACCAAATGAATGTTCATCTGTTCTCGTCTGTTCACCTTAATCTTGAATCTTAATCTTATACTTGAATGAGTAGAGTGATTTGTGGGGTCAATATTGAAATGGCACACTTTTTGCCTCTTTGCAGTAGCAAAGCAACTGTTTATTTAAGCCCATAGGTACTATGTCTATTTAATCATTTGTTATTATTTGTTCCAGAGTTGGTGGTGCTGCTGGAATGGTGGTCAGGCACTACCTGTAGCATCCACATAGATGAACAATCAAAGCACAACATTGGGAAAGAGAATGCCATTGTCATCCTTAATCACAACTTTGAAATCGATTTTGTCTGTGGTTGGAGCTGTTGTGAAAAATTTGGGGTTCTGGGGGTGAGTTTTTCTTAACATGTTAGCAGATTCTATTTTTCCCTCTCCAATGTGATGCAACACAACTGCTTTCGTGGCCAATTTGGTATTTATTTACGTATTTTCTTCAATATTTCCATTTTTTTATTCTGTTAGCTTTAAAACACTGAAGCAATTTGGAGGATAAAGAATCGGAGAAAGGTATTAAAAACATTTATCTCCTTGGTTCTCTGCTGTTGTTCCTTTTTATTATTTTGATGGAGGTGTAGGGAATGCTTATTGAATGTGTATATAACACAAAAGTGTCTATTATCATAGAAAACAGAAATAAAATGAATGACATAATAGTTTAGAGAAATGGGCTGAATTAATAGAAATAAAAATAAAATGAAGTGTAGAATGGGAGATACCACACCTTGGCAATTGTATTTCTGAAAAATATGCTTGATTAGCAAGCAGTTGCAACTTAAGAATAAGCCAAACTGTGCTGCCAAAAAATATAAACAAAATTTTAGGTTGCATGAACTAAATTATCCAAACTATGAGAAATAATTGTTAAATGACTTTCTTCATTGGTCAAAGCCCATCTGGAGTACTGTTTCCGTTTTGGGGATCACAGTTTAAATGTTCAGACCAAAATGTAACAACTTCAAAGAACAACTAGGATACTTATAAACGTGGACCTGTGGAAAGGAAACCTCCCCTGTGAAGGGGAGTTGGGTATGTTTAGCTTAAAGAAAAGGTGACTGAATGAAAGGAATGATAGCAATGTTTAAATACTTGGAAGGATATCACGTGGTTAAAATACGTTCTTGCTCATTGTAGAACACAGGTAATGGAATAATGGGTATCAATTCCAGAATCACAGATTCTGATTGAACGTTAGAAAACATTCCTTAAAAGTAAGAACAGTTCACAAGTGAAACCACCTATCCAGAGAGATGGTCACCTCCTCTTCATTAGACAAGTTCAAGCAAAGGACAGATGCACATCTTTTAATTTGTTTTAATTTAAATTCACACACTAGGTAAAGGATTGGCCTTGATGGTTTTTGTACTTACTCTCCTTTTTATTCCTGTGTTCTTAATATTTTATTTCAACCTGAATTTATTGTTCAGCTTTAATCCGCATGTGAATCATCCTGAAATACCTGCATTGTGATAATAGTGCAAAATAACACATTTTGTTGTATAACCTTTTAAGCTTGAGAAATAAAAGCAGCTAAGGAAGTGTTGTCCTTAGCATTAGAAAAGTGTTGACCCAACAAAAGAAATGCTTTGAAAAGAAATGCTTTGAAATGCCAGTATAATAGTATTAAAGGGTACCAGCATTCATAACATCAGAGATAGTGTCAAAACCCGTATGTGTCACTTTCCTGGAAGTTGGGTGGATTTGGCTCTTGCCAAGGCAACCAATTGTGAGAGTAACTAGAATCCGGGTGATGCATCAGCAGAGACATTCGGTGCCCTTGAATGCATATACAGCCAAAGGCTAAAGGAATTAAGTCCTATTACTTCTCCTGTAGTATGCATTAATTTTGAAATAGGCATCCACAACTTGTGTTTCTGATTTTCTTTTCAAGAGGCAGAATTTAGATTCTTTTTTTCATCACTGAACTCTTTTAGTATACCAATAGTTAGGTGTAATTTGAAGAATTATTTCCTACTGTGTAAATAAAATTATATATATATATATATATAAATTTGTTTTTTGGGTTAATAACAAAGTTTAAAATCTCTTCATTTACTGGACTGTTCGTTGTCCCTGGATCCAAAAGAACCAATTGCCTGGATACTGATCACCACCCCGCCACTTAAAATGTTTATTTTTCCCTAGCTGCGTTTGTTCTTAGTTTTGATTTTCATTTGACAGATCAGTGTAAAGCTTTCTAATAACAAAATAGAAACCAAATACCCAGAATGAAAATAGAACAAAGAGTACCTTGAATCACAGTTTTGAGTGCTATAATAAAGACACTGTTTTTCAACTGAACAGCAGTTGGTACAATGTTGACATGGTATTCTGCCGCTGAATAAAAGATCTCAGATCAGCATGATGCAAGCTGCTGCAAGGATAATGCCTAATTGTCCTGATAAACTTCAGCCTACCTTAAACTTGTTTTTAACATCAATCAGGAAAGTTGATCACCTTTAGTGATGATGTTGATGCTGAAAAGTTCTCAAATTTTGCACCCGGTTCTCTAATACAATTTTTTTTCCTAAACATATTCTTGACTCTCCTAAAGCTCAAGTCAAAACCTTTTTTAAAAGTTTCACTCCCTTTATTTGGAGATCATTATGTTCACATTAGGCATTTTTAAATTTATTCATAATGTATATAATATATGTTTTATATTATAGAAAATATTTATATAATATAATCATTTACTTCTCTATGAAAGGACAGTATTTGCCTTATGTAAAAGTAGAATTGAGAGTAAATTTGCTCTGAGTAGCAAGAATTAAATGCTGGAATATTGGTTTCATAAAAAATGAATATGTAATGAAGCATGAAATCTCAGAAGGTGATAAAGCAACATTTGTGCTAGAACTTGTATTAAAACAGCAAGGATATTAAATTGGTTGATTACGTGTTGTTAAATTGTTTGCAACTCATTCTTAAAAGCTGACGGAAAGACAGAAGAAGTAAACATTACTGAGTGTATGTTAATGCTTCTTATTCTTTCCTCCCTCTGGTTCGATTCTAGTTTTCTTTACGATTCCTCCACCACACCAATACCTGACAACCCAAAACTTTTCAGTATGGCTGCCATGTAAAGAAATAACTCAGGAACTAGAATTTTCATTGATCACCCAGTAGATTTTGCTGTCCTGAAAAAGTCATATGCTACTAGGCTACTTTATCGTCAGGGGCGGGATTCAAATTTTTAACAACTGGTTCTGTGGGCATGGCTTAGGTGGTGGGCGTGGCTTGGTGATCATGTGACTGGGTGGACATGGCTTGGTGGTCATGTTATTGGCTGGATGTGGCCAACTCAATATCACCCACATCGAGGCACGCATCTCTTCACCTGGCCTCTCATGACTGTGGGGATGCTGCAACAGTGTATAAGTGTGAAAAATGGTCATAAGTCACTTTTTTCAGTACCATTGTAACTGAATGGTCACTCCACACAAGCAAAATACCAGCAAAGGAGTGAAAAAAAAAACTCCAGAGACATTCCTGAGACAGGAAGTCTAGTCCTGCCAAGAATGTAATAAGGGTTAACGGAGAGGCAGTTTCTGTAAGCAACACCAGAATGTTTCCTTCCTGCCTTCCTTACAGGATTAGGTCAGTAATTTCTTCTAACAACTGGTTCTCCGAACTGCTTAGAATGTTAACAACCGGTTCTAGCGAATAGGTGTGAACTGGTAGAATCCCACCCCTGCTTATAAGGTTATAAGCAATGTATGTATGTATGTATGTATGTATGTATGTATGTATGTATGTATATGCTTTTAAGTAGCATACATTCTTACAGTATATGTTATTTTCCAAAGCCATGGGAGCCTGTTGTACTTCATCCAATTGCAACCCTTCTTGCCATATCGTACCACTATCTACCCAAATAATTTGGATTTGTGCCTCAGCCTCTTTTCTGTATGTTTTATAGAGTTCCAAAGTCTTTGCCAAGAAAGAACTTTCCTACATGCCGATCATTGGCTGGATGTGGTACTTCTTAGAGATGGTGTTCTGCAAGCGAAAATGGGGAGAGGATCGGAAAACTGTCATGCGCAGCCTGCTCAATCTCCGAGATTATCCTGAATACTTCTGGGTATGAAACATTACTGTAAAGTAGCACCTTCATCACAATTGCATTTTTAGAAAGTCTGGCCGTCCTAAAGGCAAAATACTCTCTGAACCTGAATAACATATGTTCTATTAATGTTACAAATCAAGAAAGGGAGATGAGATCGTCATTTCAGTTTCATGTTTTTCCATTAAGAGAGAGTGAAGGTGGAGTCATAAGTGGGAGAATCACTGAAAAATGAGAAGGGGGGAAATTGGGCCTGACTATTAGGAACTCAGTGTGATGACCAGGAGTGTAACACAAACGTAACAAAATCCAAAAATGTAAATAAATGTCCTTTAATGCCTCCAACTTGGCCCCACTGTTCAATAATTCTCAGTTGGAGAAAAAACGTACTCAAAAATAATCTTCAAAAGAAAGCAATGCAGTCCAAACGTAATGAACAGATTAAAAACCAAACAAATTACAATGACAAAAATTTCACAACGGACCAGGATAAGTAATTACCAAATTCAAGCAGATAACAAGGCACAGTCTGTTGGAAGATAACTTCAGCCCCCCCAAAAAACACGCTTTGCTTCTGGCAACTCTGTGTTGTAATCGTCTCTCTTATATACTAGTCTCCCTAGCTGCAATCAATGAGGTGGATCATGGCCGCTTCCTCTCTCGTAAGCCAAGTTGTTGCCTTCTCCGTTCCTCCCTGCTTGTCCTAGGATGCAGAGGGGATGGGCCTGGTTCTTCCTCTGACTGCCCAGCTGGCCTCTGCCCTTCCCCAGCCTCCTCCACGACCTCCGGAGCTACACCACCACTCCCTGTCTGGCTGTTCCTCCTTTCCCTCAGAGCCCGACTCTATACATAGGCGTAAGGGAGGGGAGAAACCTGCACAGGCTGAAAACAAAAACACTCAAAACAATACATCTAGATTTATTTTGTCACAGGATTCATGATTTATTTCTATTTTGGGCTCATGATTTATTTCTATTGACTTTCTGGAAGATTGGTTTGATGTTATTTTAGTACTGCTCTTTCAAACTGAAATTGACCCATGTAGGTTTTATTGTGCATGTATCTCTTCAAAAACCTGGTTAAATTCAGGGCAGCTTGCATATTTTGTAAGAATTTATAGGGTTGCATTTTTATACTGTTTTGTCAGGTGAAATGAGTTTTTCCTCCCATGGAGTACAGGTAGTCCTCAATTTATAACAGCTCATTTAGTGACTGTTCAATGTTTATGACCATTTTTTACTGTTATGACCTTTGCATCATCCCTTTGGTCATTTGATCAAGATTCATATTTATGACAGTTCAGTATTCCAGGCTCATGCGATCCCCTTCTGACAAGCAAAATAAATGGGGAAGCCAGATTCACTTAACAAGCATGTTACTAGCTTAAATGCAACAATTCACTTAGCAACTGTGACAAGAAATGCCGTAAAACAGAGCAAAACTCACTTAATAACTGACTCACTTAGCAGCAGAAATGTTGGGCTCAATTGTGATCATAAGTGGAGGGCTACCTGTAGAGGTTTAGATTGCTGCTTGAAAAGCACTTATAGGCAGTCCTCAACTTATGACCACAATTGAGCCCAACATTTCTGCTGCTAAATGAGTCAGTCGTTAAGTGAGTTTTGCTTCCTTTTACGACCTTGTTTGCTACAGTTGATAAGTGAAACACTGCAGTTGTTAAGTTAGTAGCACAGTTGTTAAGTGAACGTGGCTTCCCCGTTGACTTTGGTTATCAGAAAATCGCAAGAAGTGATCATGTGACCCCAAGATACCGCACCATAAATGGGAGCCGGTTATGAAGTATCTGATCACGTGATCATGGGGTCCTGCAATGGTCGTAAGTGTGAAAAACGGCTATAACTCATGGCAACTAAAAAGATGCTCCTTTGGTCTTTTTAGCTGCCAGAAAAAGGGAGGGGGGGAAAACAAGGCATTCTTGAAATGCCTAGATAATCAACTCGGCAGCCCAAAGTTGTCGGAGCATAAGAAGGTTATTGGAGAGAATGATGGATGACTCTTGGAGACGGATGTGTCCTATTGGAGAAGTCACATCCAGGGGGTGGCGGGAAGGCCAGGGCCAAGGAGGAAATGTATGATGTGATTTAGTACCGGCTGCACCCAGCCGCACACCTGTTGTAATGACGAGGCAGTTGAGGTGTTTGATCATGATCAATTGAATCATCATGATGAACTTTATTGGAGTCTAGTCTTACATTTATACACATTTTTAGTAATCCTCTAACATTGGTTAACTTTAGTTTCTGCTCAGCTTTCGTTACTGTTTAGCATAGTAATTAACACAATTAATTATCTCTAGTTAAAGTCTAACATATGTTTACTTCCTCTCTCTAATCCTTCTTTCCATTAGTGATTTTGTTTGCCTGAGTTGTATTTGTTTTGGAACCTTCATTATCTGAGGTTTACCATCAAGATAATGTCATTCCTGCAATTACAACTCTACATGCACCAACTTGGCAATTTCTAATAAACCAATTTACTGTTTCTGAGATGCGGCTAGAGACTTTTGCTTGGAATGAGGGGAATTTGTTGGAGCCCTGACAACTCAATCTTTTCAATGTCATTGTAACTTCAAAAGGTCACTAAATGAACTGTTGTAAGCGGAAGGCTTCCTGTACTGCCCACTCTTCAGGTGTTCAGGAATTATGATTTGATTTAAAATGACAATAAAAAATAAAGGTATATGTTTCCCTGTCCAGTTGGCCAAGGCTACCGTACAAATACAGGTGGCTTTAACATACAACAGTTCATTTATTGACAGTTCAAAATTACAATGTCACTGAAAAAAGGGACTTATGACCATTTTTCACACTGATGACCATTGCAGCACCCCCCATGGTCACGTGATTTACATTTGGATGCTTGACAACCTGTTCATATTTATGACGGTTGCAGTGTCCTGTGGTCTTGTGATCCCCTTTTGCGACCTTCTGGCAAGCAAAGTCAGTGGGGAAGCCAGATTCACTTAACAACGGTCTTACTAATTTAACTACTGCAGAGATTCATTTAACAAAATGTAGCAAGAAAAGCATAAAATGGGACAAAACTCACCTAACAAATTTCTCAGCAACATAAATTTTGGGCTCAATTGTGGTGATACGTTAAGGGCTACCTATATAAGAACAATTAAAAAGTGAGTCTAAATGCGTATGTATGTATGTATGTATGTATGTATGTATGTATGAAAACATATCCAGCTTTGCAAAGATGGACTACTGCTCTAATCTAGAATGCAATATGGACTGGATTCAGTCTGCTATTAAACCTGAATTTGCTGTTAAACCTGCATTTGTCTTTTACACATTAGATACTGCATTGAGGATCTGGGTGCGTCTGCCTAGGAACTTGTGTGCTTTAGAGAATAGTTTCATTTTCTAAGATTGTATGTGTATACACACACACACACACAAACAAACAAAATACCACTCACGCATCACGAAATCTCCAAAACCATAAAGCTTACAAACTTGAAATTTGGCATGTATGTTCCTCTTGGCTTCTAGGTGCTCACTAAGAAAGGGTTTTCGAAATGACTATCAGAGCATTAGTATTTCTTATATTATTATTAACATGCTCTGATGCTAAGGAGTTCTACTCCCCCTCCCCACCTAAGAAAAGAAATCTGTTCCAAATGCAAAACACAAGCAGAGGAGAGGAGTTGCAGTTTCAGTTTAGTTTCACAGCACCAAGTAGCTTTAGTACAGGACAGTTGAGCTAAGTCACGCCCAGGCTCCTTGCTGTCTCCTTGCTCACGCAGCAAATACTGTTTCAGTTTCCAAACAGCCCTCAACTCTCTCACACACTGACAGGACGCTAGCCAGATGAATTCCGATGGATGCTGGTAGGTAGAGGCAGAGTGTCCCACCCTTATTTTCCTCCCCCAAAACTAAGCCCGACCGTACAAGTATCAAGCTTGTGTGTGTGTGTGTGAGTGCATATGGTTGTGTGTGTGTGTATTTGATGAAAGGAAAAGTGGCAATTCTCTATATATCTATATATCTATTTCATTCTTTTTCCTCCCTCCCTTTCCCTCCCCCAGTTGTTGCCATTTTTGCTTTAAAAAAGAAACCTCTATACCAGACTTGGGCATTATATAGCCCTCAAGCCACATCTGGCCCTTTGAATGTCCCTGTCCAGCCTGCATGAATTACTTTTATTTTGAAGACGACTATTGTTTTATTTTCAATTTAGGTATGTGCATCCTTGCATACCTACACAGCTTCACAGCCCTTTTGGTTTAGCCCTCCACAACAGTCCCAGTTTCTAATGTGACTCCTTGGGAAAATTAATCGCCCACCCTTGCTCTGCACATTTCATCCATCTAATTCAGCCCTTGCTGTATTGGTATCCAATGAAGGTTGAATAGTGCCACCATAATTCAAACATCTTTATTTATTTATTAATAATTTTATATGCCGCCCATCTCACTGATGATAAGGCAAGTTTTACTTCCCCTCCAAATATAATATGTAACTTGATCTTCAGAATGCAACCAATGTTGCTTTCAACCATTTTTCAGGGAACATGTCTGCAATTTCTGATACGATGCTGCTTTTTGTGATTGCTGCTGAATCAGATAGGAGAGTCTAAATAGGAATTGATAAATGTTTCTGGTGAAATGCTCCTTAAAGCATAACTTTACTCTGTTCCAACTACTCGTGCTCAAAATGATAGCAATACAGTCTTTGTGTTTTTAAAATAGTTCAAACAGGAAATGGTTGTGTTCTTTGGACAAGAGAGGAAGCAGCTACTGGTACTCAAAAAAGAACATTGTGATGCTAAAATTGCATGTTAATTGTTCTTGCAAAAAGGCATTATCATGAAGGGCCTTGCAGATTGCTCTTCCTGAATTATGTTTAGGTCTTAAGAAAAAGGTGTGTATTTGAGATTTATCACAGTGTTGTGATTAATGTATAGAAGTGGTCTTTTTGTTTTCCTCTGTGCCCCATCCATTGGGATGCAGTATTCCATAAAGAAATGTACTTCTTCCTTCCACACCCCCAATACATCTCTTCAGTTTCCTTTCTTCTTCTTCTCCTCTTCAGTTTTTGATTCACTGTGAAGGCACAAGATTTACCGAGCAAAAACATGAAATCAGCATGCAGGTGGCTGAAGCTAAAGGCTTGCCAAAGCTCAAACATCACCTCCTCCCGCGAACCAAAGGATTTGCTCTCACCGTCCAATGTTTGAGAAATGTAGGTAAGGAATAACATACCCAACACATCTAAGACACCATTTTAAATGTTTGTAATCAGATGTATGTTTTAGTTAAACTGGCATTTGGAAATGAAGCAAGCTGACATCAACTTTTGATTGCCGTGTTCTGAAAAATAGCCCTGTTGAGGGATGATATCTAAACATTATCTTCCTTTAAGTCTTTCTTTAAGTCTCACTAATCATATTTACTGTAGATCAGGGGTGTCCAACCGTGGCAACTTTAAGCCTGGAGGACTTCAACTCCCAGAATTCCCCAGCCAGCAAAGCTGGCTGGGGAATTCTGGGAGTTGAAGTCCTTCAGGCTTAAAGTTGCCAAGGTTGGACACCCCTGCTGTAGATAGTCATACTTGATTTAATGGAGGTGTGAGATTTAGCCAGATATAGCTCTAATTCCTTAATGCCCTCCATTGCAGCAGGAGAAAACTATGTCAGTGCCTCTTAACAATTATAATTTGCTGCTTTGTTCATTCAATACGTTGTGATTAGCAACTTTGGGACCCACTAGAATTCAAAAGTTCGGTTTGAAAACCCTCTTCAGCTGAATTACTCCCATAAAGTGCACCAGAGATGGTTGGGTTGACATTTGAACCAGTCTATTAAAAACAACAACATGAAGTTGTCTTTTTATGGCTGGATTGAACTTTGAACTTCTACTCTATTTTCTTGGAATACAACAAAAACTGGCTATGCCTTGACAGACTTTTTGTAACCCTATTTATATTTGGTACTAAACTATAGCAATTATTTTTCCTCAACTGCCAAAGCTCCTCATTTTGATAACCTGAGCTTACATGATGTTTACAGGGTCATGTTTTGAAACCTCTGACAGTTGTCACCATGTTTTAATGTACCCTATTCTACAGTTTCAGCTGTATATGATTCTACGCTGAACTTCAGAAATAATGAAAATCCAACACTACTCGGAATTTTACATGGGAAGAAATACCATGCAGATTTATATGTAAGGCAAGTACCTTTTTCTTAACAGCTTTAAAAGGCATAGTGTGATTGCAATCCAAAAGGAACTACGGTGAAAATGCCTCGAAGGCATTTTGAATATAAAATTCTTTATAATAATAGAGCTTATAATTCTATCTTTATATTAGGAGAGGCAGTTCGGTATAGTAATGAAGGCTTCTGGCTAGAAACTGGGAGGCTGTGAGTTCTAGTCCTCTTAGCCCTAGGAAAAAAGCAAAGGCAAGCCACTTCTGCAAACCCTTGCCAAGAAAACTCCAGGGACTAATCCAAGCAGTCTGAAAGGATTGGACATGATAGAATAGAAGAAGAAGAAAAAAAGCTTTATATTGAAACACTAATAACTTGTAATTTTTTTCCACCCAAATCTTGTTGCTTACGTTCTCCCATAACTGAAAGTAAGCAGGGTGGTTATATGGTTTGTTTTTAAATCTTCTCTTCATCCTGTGCTCTCTTTTTCAATATTTCTAGGCGGATTCCATTAGAGGAGGTTCCAGAAGGCGACCAGGAGTGTTCTGATTGGCTTTACAAACTCTACCAAGAAAAGGTTGGTTCATTATTTAACCGTTCTTACGATGATTAAGATTTGAGACGGCCCTCTACAACAATCCCAGTCTCTCAGGTGGCCCCTTGGAAAAAGTAATTGCCCAACCCTGCTCTCGCTGTTCAGTTGTCATAAATTTCCGTTCCTGAAATCTGAAAGTGATTGCTTAGTTCTCTTAAAAAGAAGAGCTGATTGAACCTGTAGGTTTTGCAAATGAGAAAATGGCAATTTGCTGGGTGGAGGAATAATGCACTCAATAGCCATCAGGTTTATGTCTTCCTTTCCCTAGAGGAACAGAAACACCAGAAATAGGGAGAGAAATCACACTTTCTGCTTGCAGTGATGAATTTAGCAGATAACCAGCTCTTTCCCATATTGTTCTGACTAGGATATCATCCAAGAAGAATATTACAGGACAGGAAGATATCCAGAGAACTCTACTGTGCTTCCTCGGCGGCCATGGCCTCTCTTGAATTGGCTTTTCTGGGCCTTGTTGCTACTCTACCCTTTATTCAAGCTGCTCATCAACATGATCAGCAGTGGCTCATACCTGACACTTGCCACTGTAGCCTCTGTCTTGATTGCAGGTGAGTTGTTTCCAGCCCCTACAAGAAAGACCTTCTTTACTAACCCTACCAAAAACTCCACCCTCAGCATCTAATGTGGATAGATGAATCTGAGTGGGAGGAGTAAATTTGGGCTTTGGTAACCTCAGTTTAACTCTGAAGACAGAGGAGAATTTGGTGATCTAAAATTTCACTCGGCTGTTGTCCTACAAATTACTTGGTTTTTTAGAAATTTACATAATTGCGTTGGAACTGCACTAGGAAATACTGAAGAAAAAAGGCAGAAAAGAACGTTTATAGCTAGCAAATTTTCAAATGTGTGGCTTATTGTTTCTCAGATCCATCTAACGTTTCTCTTTCTGACATTTTCTTTCTTTCTTAAAATCACCCTTATGGCACCTCAAGTTATCTGGCTTTCCCTCCCTGGGATGCATTATGCCATTCATAAAGGACAATGGGAGGACCACTGCTTCTATAGCTGAGGAGCCAGGATGGATCTGGCCTTTGGGGATGTGGAGGGGAATCATCCCCCCCACATCCCCAAATGGGGCACCATTATGTATGGTGCCAGGCAGGAAACAGGCTGCACTTGGAGTTTGTAGGTCCATTTCCTTATCCCAGTTTCATGTTCCTGTTCCCTGAATGTGTGGATGGCCCTGGGGGGCATGAAGAGGTGCTGTTTGGAAAACAACCAAGTGAGAGGGAGGAGTCCCAGTGGCATAATGGTCAGAGATGGAAACTTAGGAAGAACCTACCCTACTCGCTCAGTTGCTTAGGTGGCAGCGGGAAAGATACACCTTTAGACTTACAAGATGCTGTTAATGTAGCCTTACAGTGAAATAGAATTAGCTCATCTAATTGTGTTTCCGGTATATTTACCAGGGAGGGCTGACATCAATCTTGCAAGTCTGGAGCTGCAAACTTCCCACTGCCACTTTTAACAGTTTGATCAATTCTCTGCTGAGTCACTCATGCCTTAATCATCTCTTACTGTCATGTGTTCTATCTGGGGCTGCCCATGAAAACTATCCAGAAGCTTCAGCTGGGAGAAAATGCAATGGTAGAGGCAGTTATATTTACCTCTACAAGACCACATGTTATATCTGTGTTATGTGAGCTGCATTGGTTGTCAGCTTTCTTCTGGATCCAATTTAAAGTTCAGATTTTGAGCTTGAAAGCCATTCATGGTATGGGGTTAGGTTGCTTGAGGGCTCTCCAAAATTACACCTGCCTGTCCCATCATCTGGCATAAGACACATGCTGCTAGTCCCTTCTGTAATGAAACTACATGTGGTAAATCCCAGGAGACATTCCTTCTCTGCCATGGCCCCTACCTTATGGAACATTCTTTCCTCAAAATTAATTAGCTCCATCCTTTTTGACATTCCTGAAGGCTCTCAACACCTAGTTATACTATGAGGCCTATGGCTCGCAGCCTCGCAGGGAATCTACTTGGATGACTCCATAGTTAAGATGGGCATTTTTATTCTCTCTTTGCCTAGGGGTATGGTATATTTGTTTTTTTTAATGCTATTTATTTCTTAATATAGTTCCCCCATCCACTGTGGGTTTTTTAATGTTTTTTTAATATGATTGTTGTGCACTGTCCAGTCTGATGAGATGGGCAGCTATACATATTTGATTGATTGATTAATTATGCTTAAGAACTCATCTTGCTCAACATTCTACTTTTATTTTGTTGCCAAATTGCAATGTTGAATAAGAAATGGTTGGGCTATATGGGTAGAAAAGCAGTGAGTGTATGAGGGCAAGTTCCCATTTCCAAATTATCTGGAATATGATCTTGAAATCCTCCACTTTGCATTTTCTCTTTATTGTCTTTCCCTCTAGAAAGAGCAGGGTTTCTCAACCCTGCTATTGCGAGAATTTTGGGAATTGAGATCCACACATCTTTAAAGTTATTAAGACTGAGAAACGTTGCTTATATATAAGCTATCTGTTTCTCACAGCCTCTTCACCTATAGTAGGAGGGCTATCATTATGGAAGGCAAAATCCTTCCATAATAAGGCGTGCCTTTTATTTCAATACTTCTTGCTGAGCTCAATGATCAAATGTGCACTTTAGGAAATTCTACAGAGTATTGAGTTAGGAACAAATGATGGACACCCTGAAACTGCAGCAAAATAGATTGTTTGTTCTTTTATTGTGTGTGGAATTCCTTGTTGATCATTGGAGCTATGCCTGAATTTTGGATAGTGCTACTAATTAAAGCCAACACGTCTATTGAGACTCATGTCAAAGTCCGAAATAAAGAGTTGGCTGCTTTAATTAGTAGGGTTCTGTGCTTCTGTCAGGTCCCCAGCAGTTCTTCCAAATAATGCACTTATTAAGGCATTTAAAACTTGAATGCTGTATGTCAGTAGTGGCTGACCTTTTGGAGCTCCTGTGCTGAAAATTGTGTGCGTGCACACTCATATGCCAGCACCGAAGGCAATGCATGTGCCCCTCACGCACTGCGCATCTCTGCACATGCGTGCACGATCCGCCCACGTGCCATGCATCTGCGTGTGCATGCATGATCACCCCACGCTGCACCTCTGTGCATGCATGCAAGACACCCCCCCTGTGGGCTGCATGTCTCTGCATAATAATTTGGGGTTGTCAGAGAAAAAAAGATATAAGGGTGGTTCTCTTTATAGCTTATAATCTCTACTGTGATTTTTGTATATAGTTTCACCCCTGACTCAAAGACAGAAAGGACTGCGTTGAAGTAACCTACATTCTGCACCAATTTTACACACTGGCCAATTTATGCCTATGTATTTAGAATGCAGGAGATAGTGTTAGCTGTCTGTTGTTGTTTTTTTCCATTGGCTTATTTGATCAAGGTTAAAATATATAAATGTTATCTCTGGTAACCCTAAATGGACTTTTGCTGACCAGGATCAAACAAGGCGGCTTTAATAAATTGTTTATAGATAAGAGATGGGACATGGGAAGCAGATAGTTTGTTACATTAAAGAGAAGTTGAAAAGATGATAAATTATTAAAATTATTTATACTTGTGATGCTGGGAAGTAAATTCTATACATATTTTCTTTTTCTTTACTATATTCTTATTTTTTTCTGTGCTTTTTATTTTTTCTATTTACTTTTTTTAGTTGTATTAGTTTTTATATTTTTAATAATAAAGTTTCTGTCTAATCCCATCAATCTAACATGATTTTTAAGGATAAGTGGAACCAGTATCGGATCTTTCATTTCTGCAAAATACCTATCACTATGTTCATATGTAGAGTGTAGAATAAATATATGTTTTCTCCCTACAGGCAGTTCCTGAAAATTGAACTGAGTATTCACCATTTAAGATGTTTGGAATAAGAAATGGCAAAGATTGATGTGTGATAGATAGTACAGAGGAATACTTGCATGCAGGCAGGGCTTTTTTACCATATTTTTCGCTCCATAAGATGCACCTGACCATAAGACACACCTAGGTTTAGGGGAGGAAAACAAGAAAAAAAAAATATCAGGAGGAGCCTGAGAGGACCACAGATAGGTGTCCTCTCATGTGCCAGCTCTGCCTATTGACTCCTGCACTGCGGACAAGAGACAGAGAGGCGGGCAATGACTAAGACAGAAGAGGCGGGGTTCAGCACTGTAAAAGGACCCCACCACCGTGGCTCGGTTGCTATTCACCAAAGGACTGGCACCAACACAGACATTTCCACCCACTTTTTTGGGGGGGGGGGAGTGTGTCTTATGGAGCAAAAAAAACGGTATATATAATTATTTGTCCCCCCAAAAAAATTCGTATTGTGGGTATGTTAAATTGGATTAGCCAACTCAGTTGCAACAAGCGTATGCCACAACTCTTAAGGCTTGTCTACTCATCCTACTACATAACTAGGGTCTTGACCCAGATGGAATTTGGAGGATACTTTCATCAAAACAGGTGCACTATTAGTCAGCTTCATTCTGACTAAATGAAATGAATCAGCCTTTGTATATATGGAAATAAGAGAAAAGTAGTTTTGCACCATATTTATTCCATGGCACAGAGGTGTTGTGATTATTACTGTATCTCTCCAAAGGTTTACATCCTGTCCTCTTCTTCACCCCCTTCCATTAAGAGATGAAGCAGAAATTCTTACATTTTTGATGCAATGTTGCATCAGCAACGAAACTTTGATTGCTTCCTGAACGATCTGTCAGAAAGAGCTTTGCCCTTTTTTAAAGGAAATGATGATGGTTTTGAATATTTAATGGTAAGAGGAACTTAAACCGGTATGAAATGTTTCCAATGTAAACATTTAACATCCAAGAGAATGAGCTGATCGTAAAAAAATAAACACAGATAATAATGAGAGATTAGAACTGCATGACCACAATTACTGTATATATAGCTAATGTAATGGGAGAGGCTGTACCCACCAATTTTTGTGATGGAAAGGATATTAAGAATATTATTCATTTTGTAATCATCCAGGCTAGATTTTAAGATTGATTTCCTAAAAGAGAAAACCCAACCTTTAAGAGGAAAATCGTTGTGGGTTACTCTGGTTGCACGCATGGCTGCATGTTTTTGCATGCAGTTTATTTGAAACCATTATAAAAATGTTGACTTTAAACTTTCAAGCAAGTGCAGATTTTAATCACTGAATCTTTGCACATAGCACAAATTTCATAATAAATATAAAAGCTATTTATGTGACCCAGCCGAGTCTGCTGCAAAATAAACACAGAAATGTCACAGCCAGTTAACAAATACCTTAATTTCAATAGACATTATTAGTTTGGAGAGCTGGAAACACCAAGTTACTTACTCATATCATACTACGAAGAAATGTGTCTGAATATAGTAAATCTGGTTACCATAATCTAGAATTGTCAAACAATTACAAATTTCTGCTGGCTTTCCTTATTTAATTCAAAGAAGCCTTTGAAAAATGTTTTATCATCTTAAACACTACTCCAGGTTAATTGATTTTTATATTACATTTTTAATGTTCCTAATGTTCCATAATTTTTATGATCTTGAATGCTTAAAATACTAAGC